GCAGAAAAGGACTCAGGATCCCTGCTGAGGCCCTAACATAAGGTATTTTTAGGACTTTGAGTGAGTTGCTTCCCTCCGGGGTATCAGTTTTCACCTCTGTTAAGTGAAACACTAAAGTGATCTCATCAATCAGTATGAAGATTAAATGAGAACATAGGAAGAGCACACAGGATCATGCAATCCATTTCAGTCTCACCACTGCTAACTTTGGAGACATGCTTCCCAGGGCTCCGTCCTTAATGCCTCCTCCATGCATCTCTCCTCTCTCTCTCTCTCTCTCTCTCTCTCTCTCTCTCACACACACACACACACACACACACAAATTCCACTCAGCCTTAGTTCTTTAGAGACTGAGACTTCCAAAACATGCAACTCCCAAACATGAATCTCCCAAGTTCAAGAACCATCTAGCCAACCACCTGTTTGACATCTCCAACTCCTCCCAGCCAAAACTGATATCCTGAGCTCATACTCAAAGAAATAACTTACTCCACTCGCGTTGCTTCATGTCAGTTGGTGACAGTTCCCTGTATCCAGGGGCTCAAGTCCAAACCTAGACCACCCCCCCCACACACTGCTTCTCCCAAACTCTACATTCTATTAACAAAATTAATGAGTGTACAAACTGTCCCCCCAAAAGCTGAGTTTACGTCCTAGGACAAATGACTTCCCAGCCTCCTACCCCTCACACAGCTTCCCTCAGTTGCTTCCCAACTGCCCAGAGCCCCTCCTTCCCATCCTGGGCTCCAGGTGTAAGGGTCTGGCAGGCTAGGGGATGAGGGTAGGAGGAGGTGTTTGCAAACCTTTCTTTTTATTCTTCAAAAATTAGAACCCTCAGCAAAAGGCCTTTGAGTAAGAGAGGTAGGAAGGGGCTTGTAAGCTTACATCTGGGCTTACAATAAACAAAAGAAAACAGCCCGATTTCTGGGATGACTCCTGAACAGACCGCCATATGAGATGGGGGGGTCTAAGAAAGTGATGTCCAGGTTCAGGGTCTGACCCCAGGTTCCAACTTCCAAGTCCTCAATTTAGAAGCCAGCCTGGAGAGGCGGGTCTTGAGTCCAAGAGATGGGTCCTCAGAAGGCTCAGTGGGCGGGGCCTGGGAACGTTGATCCGCAGGGGCGTGGCCTGAGAAACAATCCATCATACTCCGGGGGCTGGGCCTGAGCCCGAGGGGGCGGGGCCGAAGCTGGTCCCTCTAGCAGGAGGGCAGGTACGGGAACTCAAGGGGCGGGACCTGGACCTCAAGGGGCGGGATCAGACCCTCGTGGGTGGAGCCCTGCCTTGAGGGGCATGGCCAGCACCAACTGGCTGGTCAAAGGCGGAGCCTGGTCCTCCAGTAACAGAGCCAAGACTTCGAGGGGCGTGGTCTATGACCTCAGGACCTGGGGCGGGGCCTGATTCCTCAGGGGCGGGGCCTGGGCCTCTGCCCACGGGACTCAGGCCCGCGGAGGCAGCGGCTCCACGTTGAGCCAGATGCCATTCTCCGTGCGCAAGATGAGCTCCGGCTTCCTCCGCACTTTCCGCGTTCGGTCCACGCTCAGGCGGAAGCGCAGCAGCGTCAACGCCACCGCCACGCGCATCTCAGCCATGGCGAAGCTCTGTCCGATGCAGTTCCTGGAGAAAGGGGGGCATGGCCTCAGGCGCCGCCGCTGTTTGTGCGGGGGGGGGGGGGGTGTCCCTGGGCCTCACATGACTCATCTCTAAAATAGGGAGAGCATCTTAGGCTAAATGAGGGTTAATGAGACCCCAAGAATTGCTGAATAAATGTGACTTTGGGGTCGAGTGTTAGAATCCTGGTGCAGCCTCGTACTAGCTTTGTGTTCCCGATAAATGACCTCTGAGCCTCAATTCCTGCATCTGTAAAGTGGAGACAGTGGCGGCCTAGAGCTGTTGGAAATGTGAGCCCAGAACTCAGGTTCTGGCACACAGTAGGTATGCCCAGCCCCCAGGAACGCTGTTGCAGAGTCTGATTTGGGAGTCTCTTGCTTCACTGGGGGTGCAGAGAGGACCTGGGTTGGTGAAAGGGACACCTAGGTGGGGCGTGGTCTGTGCTTCTGATGGGCACACACTTGAACTTCCATTAGCTCTGTATCTTCCCCATGTGGCTTACCTGGGTCCTGCAGAAAAGGGCACAAAGGCCAGCGGAGAGCGCTGCTGTGGATTGTCTGGGTCAAAGCGGTAAGGGTTGTACACCTAGACAGGAACAGACCGGGGTGAGTCTGGGAGCTGGCCCAGCCATTCTAGCCTGGCCCCCTGGCTCAGCCTCTGGGGGCAGAGGCACTTTAGGACCTCCTCTTCCATTCAACCCCACACTCACTACAATCCAGCCACACCTGCACACCTGTCAGGTGTGCAAGGCTTAGGGCAAGGTTAGGGCAGGAGCTCACCTTGGAGTCAGGCCACACGGTAGGGTTGTGGTGGGTTCCATAGATGCTGACCAAACAGATGATTCCTGTGGCGACAGGTGGGATCAGTGGGACCAAAGGGAGATACGGCCTCCTCTAGAAACATCCCCCTTCCCAGATCCACCTCTGAGCCATCTGCTACCACTTCCTGTCCATTCTTCCCTGAAAAACCCTGCTGCCCTAACCTCCCCACCACCCCCGCCTGTCCCTAAGAAGCCTCCATTGCCTTTCTGGTTGTCGCACTGGCCACACACGGAGCTTTCTCTCAAGTGCAGCTCAGCCTCCTCCCTTGGCTCCTCACTGCCCTCAAAATGGGGTTCAAGTGCCTGCATCTGTCATTCAAGGATTCTACAGTCTGCACCCTGAGGCTCTGCTCCATGAGCGTCCTTGTTCTTCCATTTCCAGCCTCCAAGACTGTCCTTCCTCCTCCAAGAAGCACTCCTGATATTCCTCCCTAGTGGAGACATCCCTCCACATTTGGGCTTCGCTGGCCCTCCTCTCTCCCTTTAGCCCATCCCTGAGCCCATGTGGCTGGGAATGTCTGTGCCCTGCCGTTGCTCTCTGCAGACTGGGAGAGATCCTCAAGGCCTGGGCCTGGGGATGAGACATCTTTAGATGCCCAGCATCAACCAGGAAAGGTCTCCAGGTAACAGCTGGTGACTGAATGAAACACCTTCCCCTACTTGCACCCTCCCAGGGCCAACCCTGCCACACCAGCTCTTTCCTTTCCAACAGGATTCACCCACCTGTATCTCCCCCATTCACAACTAGGCTTCCCCCTGGCACCCAGAAACTAGGAGGGGACACAGCTGCCACATCCACAGGGACAAGGCACCTGGGGCAGACATGGCCAGGCCCCTATGGGCAACAAAGTAGCCACATAATGGGACAGTGCACCAGCATGGAGGGGCACACAGTGGGCACCTTTTGGAATGACACGCCCATCTGGAAGCTTGATGTCCTCTGTGCAGCGACGAGAGACAAGGGTCACAGGTGGGAACTGACGCAGGCTCTCCTTGATGCACATAGTGGTGAATGGCAGCTGGGTCAGGTCATCCCTGGAGAGAATGAGAGAATGGAACTGTGACTCTCCCAAACACATACACACACACACACACACACACACACACACACACGAGCAGCTGGGCAGGAAAACAATTCAGGGTGTCAACGCTGCCCAACTTCTGCTATTTGTAGTGTCCCATGTTGTACCGCTAACACTTAGGATCAACCAATCAGAAAAGTAACCAATAAAAAGAGCAAGCCAGGTGTAGTGGCGCACACCTGTAATCACAGCAACTTGGAAGATGGTGGCAGGAGGATTCTAAGTTTGAGGCAAGCCTCAGCAACTGAGTGAGACTTTGTCTCAAAATATAAACATGAAAGGGTTGGTATGTAGCTCAGTGGTAGAGTACCCCTGAGACTGGGTTCACCAGTCTCTCTCTCTCTCTCTCTCTCTCTCTCTCTCTCTCTCTCTCTAACACACACACACACACACACACACACACACACAAATAGCAAGCACTTGGGCTGGTTTCTGGGGGTCCCTATTGGGCCCAGCATTGATGCTTCAATGATGGATTACGTGGTGGACAGGGGGCACTCGGGGAGGTACCAGCATAACTAGAGAGGCTCAGAGCAACAGCAATTTATTTGCTTATATGGATCCATTTAAGTATGTATGTATGTATGTACAGAGACAGGGTCTCACTGTGTTACCCAGGCTGACTTAAACTCCTGGATTCAAGTGATCCTCCTACCTCAGCCTCCCAGTAGCTGGGACTATAGGCATGCACTACTGTACCCAACTATTTCATTATTTTAAAATCCTAGATGAAAGGAATAATAAAACCATGTGTACCAAAGGTTACTGCATAATCCAAATAGAGGGCTTTAGGTTAAACTGTGTCCATGAAAGAAAAAAAAAAAAAAAAAAAAAGACATGTTGAAGTCCCAGCCTCCAGCACCTCCAAATGTAACTTATTTGGAAAGCAGTTTGTATGAGGGTTAATGCTTCTGGACTTGGCATGAGAAGAATATGCCCCAGGATAGCCATTGATCCAGTGAGAATGAGGAGACCTATGGAACAGACCTGAACCAACTCTCTAACCCCAGAAGCCACAAGAGTGATGTACTGATGAGCAATAATTAAATACTTGCAGGGGCTGTGGTTATAACTCAGTGGTAGAGTATGTGCCTAGCATGTGTGAGGCATTGGGTTCAATCCTTATTGCCACATAAAAATAATAAATAAAAGTATTCTGTCTATCCACAAAAAAAAATTTTTAAATACAATAACATTTTTAAAATTTAATAAATAAATGTTTGCTGAAAGTCACTGCATGTGAGGGATGTTTGTTCTGCAGCATTATAGCAAAAATTGCTGACTAAGACTATTGCATCCTGAGGCAGGCATAGGCATCATTATCATCCCCATGTTATAGCTGAAGAAATTGGGATTCAGGAAGCTCAAGTGACTTGTCTAAGGTCACACAATCAATCAGTAGTGGAGGAGAGAGTCACACTCAAGGCTCTGGCCTCAGCATGCCCCTTCAGCCATCTGACCTCCCCTGCCCCCCCCCCAAAACTGACCACTCCAGTTCCTCCAGCTCCCGGCCTTTCATGACTTCCTGGATCTCTTCCCGGCACTTCTCCTGGTATTCTGGGTACTTTGCCAAGTTGAACAGCACCCAAGAGAGCCCACTGGATGTTGTGTCGTGACCTGCAGGCAGATGAGGTGTTTGAATGGAGGCTGCCATCTCCAGGCAGACAATAGTGTCCACTTCAGTGTCCCCTAAAGGGACAATCGTGGCCCTTCCCACCCTCCCACTCCACATTCTCACCCTCAAACATGAAGGTGTCTGCCTCAGCTCGGATGTCCTCATCTGACAATTCCTTTCCATCTTCATCCTGGAATGGGTAGAACCGATGCTCAGGCCCCTGCATCCCACCCTCTGCCTCCTAGCGGCTCCTCCAGCGTTAGATCTGTCCCTTCTCTCTTAAGTCAAGTTGTGGGGAGAAATAATCTAGATGGAAGGAGATATGCTACTTGTATAAGAAAGATGGAGATAAAGTGAAAGATGAAGAAGGAAGTTCATACAGCCGTGCACTGTTTAATGATAGGAACCCATAATGAAATGCATTGTGAGTCAATTTCATGATGGTGCAAACATCGGAGTGCACTTATGCAAACGAAGATGACTATGATGTCACTGGACACATAGTGTTTCTATGGAAACACCATCACATGTGTGATCCATCACCAACCAAACATCATCATGAAGCACATGGCTGACTTATTGAGGAGCTACTAACATGATGTATTCCAAAGGCTGCCCCACGATAACTCTGTCTTCAGGTCTCAGAATCACCATGAGGAAACTGACATTCAGAGGAAAGAGTGATATGATTAAGGTTAAATATCCACTCAGTGGCAGAGACAAGGGTGGAATCCAGGACCCTCTGGATCCAGAACCCAAATGCTGCTCAGAAATTCTATAGAAGAGCTGGGGATATAGCTCAGTGGCAGAGTGCTTGCTTAGCATGCATCCATCTCCAGCACTGCAAAAAAAAAAAAAAAAAAAAATCCACAGTGACCCTACATCTTCTGTCTCATGTCTTCAAGGTCATATATCTCATCTTTGTAAACGTTTTGGACTGAATTGTGCCCTGTCCCCTAGAATTTGTAAGTCCTAACTCCTAGCATCTCAGAATGTGACCACGATTGGAGGGAGGGTCTTTGTGAAGGTGAGCAAGTGAAAATGAGGTCATAAAGGTGGCCTTAATCCAATGTGGCTATGGTTCTTATAAGAAAAGATTAGGGGGCTGGGGCTGGGGCTCAGTGGTGGAGTGCTTGCCTAGCACAGGTGAGGCACTGGGTTCAAATCCTCAACACCACATAAAAAGTAAATAAATAGTTATAAAAAAATATACTAAAGGGGCTGTGGCTGTGGCTCAGCTATAGAGCACTCGTCTCACATGTGTGAGGCCCTAGGTTCGATCCTCAGCACCACATAAATAAAATAAAGGTATTGTGTCCACCTACAACTAAAAAAAAAAAAATTAAAATATATTTTAAAAAAAGAAAAGATTAAGACAAAGACACACGCAGGGGGGAGATGATATGCAGACACAAGAAAGTGGCCATCCCCAAGCCAAAGAAAGATGCCTGCAGTAGACTATTCCCTCACGGCCCCTAAGAGAACTCAACCTTGCAGGCACATTGGATTTCTAGCTTCCAGAACTGTAAGAGAACACATTTCTGTTGCTCAAGCCACCTCCTCTGAGGCAGAGGCATCCCTTGGTATCCACAGAGCACTAGTTCTGGGACATCCCCCCATGGATACCAAAATCCATGGATGCTCAAGTCCCTTATATGAAATGGCATGGGGCTGGGGGTGTGGCTCAGTGGTAGAACACTTGCCTAGTATGCGGAAGGCCCTGGGTTCAATCCCCAGATCATCAAAAAATAATTAAATTAAAAATCAAATAAAACAAAAAAATCAAATAAATTATATAGCATAGTGTTACATGTTGCCATGCAAAACCTCCCATACTTACACTTTAGGTGACTTAGAATACCTAATACAATAGCTATGTATATAGCTATTGTACTATAATAATAAATAATGACAAGAAAAAAGCCTGTACATACTCAATACAGATGCAATTCTTTTCAAATGTTATCAACCTGAGGTTGGTTGAATCTGCCTATGTGGAACTTGTGGATATGGAGGGAGGACCCACCATCCACATTCTTTACAAGCACATAATGAACCTTCCACAGGATAGCCCACCTCAGAGGTGCCCCCCCACCAATCCCAACTACCCAGGAGGCCCAGGCAGGAGGATGGCAAGTTTGAGGCCAGCCTGGACAACTTAGCAAGACCCTGTCTCAAAATACCGTAAAATAATAAAAGGGCTTAGGATGTTGCTCAGAGGTAAGTGCTCCTGGGTTCAGTCCCAGTACCACAAAACAAAACCTCAGTTCATTTAAAAGGACCGAAATGTTTGTTACAGCAGCCTGAGCAGACACACAGTGGGTCTCACTTACATGCCCACATCTGACTCCATCCTAGATCTATGTGAGTTTGGGCATTTGTCATTTTACACACTTGGTGCAGTTCTGGGGAAGTCCCGGCTCCAGGGCCCCGCCTCACCCTGGCCAGGAGCAGCACATCGATGAAGTCCAAGGTCTTGCCCTGCTTGGCCTTCAGCCAGGCCTCGGCCCCCTGGTGGCGCAGCGCCTGCCTCCGCTCCTGGATGACTTCGGTGGTGAAGCGGTGCACGGTGTCGCAGGCCTGGCGGAAGCGCCGCCCGTCCGCTGTGAGGTAGTAGATGAAGTCGAGGTGGTGATGCAGGCGGTACTGGCGCCTGACGACCAGCGCGCTCAGCTCAATGATGGCCGATATATAATCGCTCATCTTCCTGCCAGGGAGAAGACCATGAGCCGAGGACCATGCCCAGTCCCCGCCAGCCAGGGGCACAGCTTGGCTAGGTCAGGCCTCCTCTCTCCACTGGGCAACGACAAGAGAGGCCCCATATCACCTATATTTTCTGTAGATTTTGTATGCCTGTCTGTGTGTGTGTGTGTGTGTGTATGTTAGTTTTTGCACTACTGGGGATAGAACCCAGGGCCTGGTACATGCTAGGCAATTTCTATCACTAAGCCCAGGGGGCTGGGGAGCCCCCATGATGACTCTCTGGTGAATTAATGAATGAACTAACAAACCAGGGTAATGACTATTTTATTAGGTCATTCAACAGATAGTCATTGAGCACCTCCCATGTGCCAGGGCAACTGTGACATCATTTTATCCTTCCTGCACCTCCCCAAGAGTCAGATATTATCATCTTTGTTTTACAAATAAGGAAACCGAGACTCAGAAAGGGAGGGGCACTTTCCAAGGACTGTATGCTATTTGCGGAGGAATGAGGGAAAGTAGCATTGCCTGATCCCCTGTTACGTGCCAAGCCACTGACAACCATCTAATTAAGATAGTTACACCATGACCATGGGGGAAAATTATAATGTCTCTTTTTTGGGGGGAAGGGAACTGAGGCTCAGAAAGGTGGTATCGTTTAAAAAAAAAATAGGTGTAGAAGGACAGAGCACCTTTGTTTTGTTCATTTTTATGCGGTGCTGAGGATCAAACCCAGGGCCTCACAAGTGCCAGGCGAGGGCTTTCCCCTGCCTATACTCCAGCCCTGGTGATGTCATTTTTTTTGGAACCAAACAGCCATCTGTCCATCAGTGGCAGATGCCAGCAGCCTGGGTTGCCCAAGAGCTGGGAGTTCCCTTTCTCCTCCCACTGCCTCTCCCTGGGCAGCTGGCTCTGTCTCCCGAGGGAGGTCACACTCACTCCTGGCAGTCGCTGTTGTAACTGAACACACATTTCTGAAGACTGTCCAGGGTCATGAGGCTGATGTGCTCAAACATGTCAAAGGAGGCCACCGAGCCTTCTGCCAGAGTCCTCCGCCATTTAGCCTGGAAGAGAGCCAGGGCATGGGGACCTCAGACAGCATGCCACAGGTCATCACTCACCACACACCCGAGGTATAGCTCAAGGACTTGAGGTCTCCCCACAGCACGTGGCTCGCCCTGGAGCTGGGCTGGAGCAGTTGCTGTCCCCTTCCCCTGTCGCCTGAGACTCACGTGCATGACATTGGTGCACTGGTTGAAAATCTTCATGTAGGGCTTCAGGATGTCGAAGTGGAAGGCAGGCGTCAGCAGGCGGCGGTGACGGCTCCACTTGTCGCCTTTGCTGAGCAGAAGCCCGTCCCCTGGGCCCAGGAGACTGAGGTCAGGGGGCCTCCCCTGCTCCTCTGACTCCCTCCAAGGAACCCCTTGCCCTGCCCTCTCCTCCCTGAAACCCCAGCCCCAGCCTACCCACTCGGCACTCACCTAGCCAAGGTTTCAGGAAGCTGTAGAAAAGGTCGTCCTTGGGAGCAATGGCAGCTGTGCAGAGACAGGAGGCAAAGATGACTCAAGACAGAGTTCTGACCCTGACCTCTGCTTATGACTTCCTAGGGCCACCTCTCCCACCTCCCACCTCACCCCTCCAGTCTACCCTTCACATCCAAACCAGAAAGATCCCTGAAACACACTGATCTGAACACGAAACCCCTGTTCATGTTACCTCCCACGATTCCCCATTGCCTTTGTGAAAGAGTTCAAGCTCAGCCTAGTGCTGAAGGGCCCTGCCCCGTGTGGCCTCCACATGCCTCTCACACATCAGATAATCCCTTTCTCATTGCACGCTGACATTCACCTCCAAACCTACAGCCAAGCTGGGTGCTCCATACGGAATGGAGTCATCCTCTAACCCTCCCCGCTCTTTCCTGCCAGCTCGGGCCATCCGGAATTATACCTCCTGGGTTTCCCACCTGCAGTCACACCCTCCCTGTCTGTCCATCACGCTGGCTGGGGGGGGGGGGTGGATCTTACCTGACTATCAGATCTGACCAGGTCCCTCCCAGTTCACACACCCATCAACCCTCAAGCACCAGCAGCTCAGCCCATTTCTAAAGCCCTGGATGATCTGCCCTTGTGCAGACCTCTCTCAACACAGACACCTTTAGCTGCATGTGGTGGTGCATGCCTGTAATCCCAGGGACTGGGGAGGCTGAGGCAGGAGGATCGCAAGTTCAAGGTCCACCTCAGCAACTTAATGAGGCCCTAAGCAACTTAGAGACCCTGTCTCAAAACTTTTAAAACGGGGGGGGGGGGGGGGGGGGGGGGGTTTCCCCCAGGGAAAAAACCCCCGGGTTCACCCCCCCTTTAAAAAAAAAAAAAAAAAGACACCTCTATTGCCCAGCCCCCTCCTGCTCAATATCACAGAACTTTTCCCAGCTCTTCAAAAAGGCCATGTGCCCGCCCCACTCCAAGTCTTTCCAGGAGCTGCCACCTCATCCCCAAACACTCTGTCCTTATCCTCTGGTCTCAGATTGGGTGCTGCATTTTCTCTCTACAATCCCACTGGATGGTAATTGTCCAGTTCTAAGCCCTTCACGGGAAGAGACCATTTTGATCACTAACATTTGGTGCTGAAGAAATTTTTATTCAATGAATGAATGAGCCAATCAATCAATCAAAGAATGGGTGAATAAAAGAAAAATGGATTGGTGGAAGGATGCACGGGTGGTGTGTGGGTGGATGCACAGATAGCTGCATGGCCCTTCTATACAATGAAAAGATTTGGGACTGAATGGGGAGTGGCCCAAAAAGGAAGGACCTGAGATGCAAACGCAGTCACTGAAGACTGGATATGACTCAGCTCCCGCCCCACACACGCGCCCTGCAGTTGGCCAGTTGGTACACACAGTCATCAGTCTCCTCATCCTCCCATTCGACACACCCCTCAGCTGCCGTTCCCTGCCCAACCCATGATGTGTGACGCTGGGGACCCAAGGATGGCTGAGCTCCACGCCCTGCCTGGAGGAGCTCTGGGGTGGTGTGGGAAAAAGGAAGCAGAGGCACACCGTGCAATTATCAAGAAGACAGAAAGTGTGCCAGCTGCTAAGGGTGGCACAGGGAAAGGACTACTAGAAGTCGGGGCAGGCTTCCTGGAGGAGGCAGCGTTGGAGAGGAAGGTGGGAGTCCGGTTACACCTCTCCTCCCCGGACTTTGAACTCCAGGTTAGGTGCCCGGTGGGGTTTGACTTGACACTCAGATCTGATCGATGGCTGCCCTGCTCAAAAACCTCCCATGGCTCCCTGTTGATCAAGGGCAAGTTCATTTGCTTTTCAATCCAGCTGTTGCTTAACTCTCAATCTCGTTTCCTACTCCCCACGCACACAACCTGCACTCCAGCCAACCCAGTGACCTGAATTTTTCCTGGTATTTTCCACAGCTGTACCTTGAGAATGTCAGGTGCCTCTAGTTGGTAAACTCCTAGGCATCCTTCAAGGCCTGGTTTCACTGAAGCCTCCTCCAGGAAGCCTTCACCAATCCCTCTCCCCAGCGGAACCCTGGTTCTCCTGTCCTCAGGTCCCTCTCCACTCCAACTCTATCCCCCGGGCCAAGAGAGTCTGCGTCTGGGTCTCCTCCCATCAGATTCCCTCTCCAGCAAAGTGGAGCCCTTGATGCCTCACTCAGGAGAAAAGCCCCCCACGTGGTGCCCAGCAGGGGGCAGCTCTCCCACCCAAGGCTACAGATCATGGGGGTTGAGAGCTTGAGTTGGGTTCAAACCCCAGCCCTGCTACTCACTGACTGTCCAGACTTGGACCTTTACCACTCTGCCCCTTCCATCTCCTCATCTGCGGAAGGAGGAAACAGAACAATCTTGCCTCATGGCATCCTGTGACACTCAGCAAGCCAATGTGTCCTGGCACCCGGTAGATGCTCATTAAATATGTGTGCGCGTAAATGAATAATTGACCCGCTGCTGGCTATTTGGTTACTGCAATTATAATTATTGCTTATTGGCATCAAAAACTTGTGAGGTGGCTATCCAGGTCCCCTATTAGTGACAAATGAACGCACAGCTGGTGTGGAAGATCGCAAGGGCCTTCCTTAGAAAGTCAAATACACAGCTGGGGGTGTGGCTGGGTGGCACTGTATGTGCTTAGCCGGTGTGAGGCCCTGGGTTCCAAAAAAAAAAGTCAAATGTAGAATTACAAAAGACCGACCATTCCACTCCTAGGTATCCCAAGAGCAATGAAAACACAGAGGCTGGAGCTCGGGGTAGAGAGCTTGCCTGGCATGTGGGAGGCCCTGGGTTTAATCCCCAGCACAGGAGAAAGAAAAGGGGGGAGAAAAGGAAAGGAAAGAAAGAAAAGAGACGGAGGAAGGAAGAAGAGGGAATGCGGCCATACCAAGACGTGAGAGCAGAGACCCAGTGTGTGTGACTCCTTTTATATGACTTTATAGACCAGATGAATGCAAGGACAGGAAGCAGAGGGAGGTACCAGGAAACAGGCAGGGGGATGGATGTGATTACTTCTTGAACACAAGGGGTTTTACAGGGTGAGGAACATCTTCTGACACTAGGGAGACCTGTGGTTGCACAACTCTGTGACCACATCAGATGCCACCAACTATTCCCTTTAAAATGGTTGATTGTCTGTTATGTGAATTTCACCCCAATAAAAAAATGAGTGCATCCCAACAAGCTGTGCTGACGGGCTTAGAGATCATGACTTGTCTTCTGTAAAGGTTTCCACCTACTTTTGTCCATGCATAGTCCCTATTCCACGTGCCCAGAAGACTAGGAGGTGAAAGTTCCAAGAGACACCATCCCTGCCTTCCTTGGGGCCCAGGGACTGTGTAGGTTCAACCCCAGAGCAGCATCCCCCCCCCCCCCGCTGCGGTCCCAGGAGGTCCCAGAGGAGGACAGAGGCTGTGAGCTGCAGTCAGGCCAGCCTAATCCCAGCAGGAAGGACAGAGGGACGGGAGCTCCTGGGCCAGGAGGCCCCCTCCATGCTGACAGCCTCACCCTCTCCTGTCAGGAGACCCCCGTCCACTCCTCCGTGGCAGGAGGCAGTGGATATCCTGCCTGTCCTGAAGGAGAGGAGAGGAGGGGAGGGAAAGGGGCCTGAGTGTCTATGAAGTGCGGGGACCATGCTGGGGCTCTACCTGGGGACTTAACCACCACTCAGAAGGTGCTCAGGACACTGATGTTCTAAGGAGTCAGATGAGAAGGAAGAGGAGGAGGAGATGGAGGCAAAAGAGACAGAGGAAAGGCAGGGGGAGAGAGAGAAAGGGGGGAAGGAGGAAGTGGAGAGAGAAGAAGGAAAAGTACACTAAAAAGACATACAGCCTGCCCAGTGGTGTGGGTCTGCCATTCCAGCTACTTAGGAGGCTGAGGCAGGAGGATCTCAAGTTCAAGGCGAAACTGGAGAACATAGCAAGAGCCTGATTCCAAACAAAATAAAAAGGGCTCAAGATGTGGCTTAGTGGTAGAGCAGTTGACCAGCATGTAAGAGGCATGGGGTGCGTTCCATCCCCAGCACTGCAAAAAATAAGCCCTTATTCACGTCTACCCATGTTATTATAGCTATGCTTTTGCAATACTGGGGTTGGAACCCAGGACCTCGTCGTGCTAGGTGAGCACTCCACCACTGAACTACACCCCGGGCCTCACATTATGTTAGTCAGTCTTAGTAACAGCCCCCCTTTTACAGATCAGAAACAGGCTCTGAGAGGCTTGCAAAACCACTAGCATCACACAGCAAATATGGGCAGAAGCCAGGATTTGGACCCAGCCCTTTGGAGCTCTGATTCAGGCTTCTGGCCACAAATGGGTGCCCAGTGCTTGGAAGAAAGAACCACTTCTCCCAGGGTCTAGGATCCCCTGTAGTTCAGTGGGGATCATCATTCCTTCCCAGATGCAATAAGGGGGGACCACGGGGCTGCGGAGGGCATAGCTGGGGAAGGAAAGGCGGGCAGCCCTGTCCTCTTTCACCACCCCTGGGGGGCAGCTTGGAAGGCAATCTCCAGATGTGGGTTTGTAGAGGCCCAAACTGGGGCCAGAGACCCCCAAATTCTTGGGGATCTTTCCTTCACATCCCTCCATGCTCCAATGTCCCCTGATGCCCAAATCCATGCGAGACTATGTCCCACCATGAGGCAGAAGAGCTGGACGTGGCCTCACCAAGCCCCAGTGGATCAAGACTGAGAACAAAATGTCCCGAGGGGAGAGCTACGAGTCTCTGGAGTTGGGTGCTGAGGGATGAGAGAGATGAGGGACAGCTGGAGTCCCACAGCTTTGGACAGGTGTGGACCGCAGCAAGGAGACGCAAGCCTTCCACGTCCTTCCTGCCAGTCAAGGCCAGCCCAGGTGGTGAAAGCAGGCTGAAGGATGGGCCACCAAGAAGCCAGTCATGGTGGGAGTGTCACAACTCAAACGATGGGTGTGTCACGGGCTGGAATTGAGCAACACCTACTTATCCAAACCTGAAGAGAACAACTTCCTATCCAAACCTGCTTGGTTCTGACTTCCAGGGAGGTGGACAGCCTCTAGGCATCGTCACACTTCTGTCTCCGACGTTCCATGACCCATATTGCCATTGCTGCCTTGGTGAACTCCTATTCATTCCTTAAAGCCCTACTCAAATGCCCCTTCCTCTGGAGAGACCACCTGCCTAGAAGCCCAGATAGAATACGGGAGATGAGGGTTCAGTCAGCACTCACCCAAGAGGCCCAGCCTGCCTACCTGAGGCGCCCACCAGGGGCTTGATGTAATCAGGGTGCACAAGAACCAAGAGCGGCAGGACGGGTCCGATCCACACCAGGACCACATGGTGCATGCTGTCCAACACCTTCTTCTCGTCCTGAAGACCCGACTCGTTTGGAAGGTACTGCGGCAGGTAAAAGAGGGGAGTGAGGACATGCTCAGCCTCAGCGTCCTCCAGTCCTGCCCTCCTGCCACCTCCCTCCCCTCAAAAATGAGCCCAGAAGTGCTAAATGATGGCGGGTGGTGGCTGCACCTGGCTGAGCCTCCACCTCCTCCTCTGAAAAATGGAGAACACCAAGTCTCCCTCTGAAGGCAGCCCAGAGGGTCAGAGAAAGAAGTGAGAGCCACCATGGGGCCTGACACACAGCTGGCTCAAGAAACAAAGATAAACCCAACACGGTGACACAAGCCTGTAGGACCAACAGCTTGGGAGGCTGAGGCAGGAGGACCCCTTGAGCCCAGGAGTACAGAGGCCACCTGGGCAACATAGTGAGACCCCATCACAAAAAAAGAAAGGAAAATAGTAATTGTAAACACATTAGTGGTAGGTGTTGGCTTTTTTCAAATATTTGCTATTTTATTAAAAAATACCACTAGGACCCTTGTACTGGGGCACATGCCTAGATCCCAGCCACTTGGGAGGCTGAGGCAGGAGGATCTCAAGTTCAGTTCCAGCCTGGGCAACTTAGCAAGACCCTGTCTCAAAAAAGAAAAAAGGGGCTGGGGCTGTAGCTCAGTGGCAGAGCACTTGCTTAGCACATGTGAGGTGCTGGGTTAGATACTTAGCATCACATAAAGACACACAAATGAAATGAAGGCATGCTGTCCATCTACAACTAAAAAAAAAAAAATTAAAGAAAAATCAAAAGGGCTGGGGCTGCAGCTTGGTGGTAAAGCATCCCAGGTTCAATTCTAGTACATACGTGCATATGTATTTATTTATATATACATTTACATTGTATTTGTATATGTATCCATAGATACATATGTATATATTTATTTATAGAAAAGTTTACTTATTAGAAGTTCAAAGCCAGGTGCAGTGGTGCACCGCCTGTATTCCTAGTGGCTCGGGAGGCTGAGGCAGGAGGATCGCAGGTTCAAAGCCAGCCTCAGCAACCTAGCGAGGCTCTAAGCAACTTAGTGAGACCCTGTTTTGAAACTTAAAAAAGGGCTGGGGATGTGGCTCAGTGGTTAAGCACCCTTGGGTTCAATCCTTGGTACCAAAAAAAAAAAAAAGTTCACTTACACAGTAGTGCAAATACACTAACACTAACCCTATCAATAAAACTAGGATTAACCCCACTTCATGTTTTTTAATTGGAGTTTTTCCCACATCTTTATTGGTGCATTATAGTTGTACATAGTGATAGGATTTGTTGTCATGTATTTGCACATGCACACAACATATAATACCACAATATAATTTGGCCCACTCTTTTTTTTTTTTGGTACCGGGGATTGAACTCAGGGGCACTTAACCACTGAGCCACATCCCCAGCCCAATTTTGTATTTTATTTAGAGTTTTGAGGACCAGAAGTGACACTAGGTATCCCACTCGTCTCAGGCCTCATTCTTCTACCGGGTCTCAATTGTGTGCAAAGCTGCACCGTCAGCGACCCACCACTAATAATAACCACAGCCACTGCCACCGATCCCCCCAGGCGGCTGGGGAGGACTTAATAAACCCAGCTGGGAAAGCCCTCGCCCATCTCCACTGCCCACGGAGGAGGAGCAGGAGCCGCCTCTGTGCAGAAGCCCCCTTAGCCCCCCTTAGCCCTCCTTAGCCCCCCTTAGCCCCCCTTAGCCCTCCTTAGCCCCCCTTAGCCCTCCTTAGCCCTTCACAGCTCGGACAACCTCTGCATTTACGAGGTTCAACCTTAACTGTCAAACTACACGTGCGCACACGCTGCGCTGCTGAGTGATGCCTGTTCCACATGGACCTCTGGACGTGTCCGAGAACCCGGGGAGGTTTATTCTTTTTTCCACTTGACTGTTTAGAAAGGTCAAAGGGCTTGTCTGGGGTTCCAAGTGAGTGGGCAACTGTCCTGGTGGGGCTCCCTCGCAAGCAGGTGCTGAAACAAGGGTCCTGGGGAAGCAGCTCATGTGGGAGGTGACCCTCCCAAACATGGGGAGATGTGGGGAAGTGAGACCGGAGGGACAGGGACGGCAGCCAGCGCAGGGGAGCTGTCAAGCCACCCGAGGGGGAGGCGCCGGAGAGTCTATCCACCCGTGTCCATCAGTCCTTGGCTGCAGGCTGCTCCTGGGGGCACGAACTCCCAAAGCCCCTAGAATGCAGGTGCCAGCAGTGGAGGATGGACCATTTGCACCCAGACACGGGACAAGAGAAATGGGCAGGTTTGGGCATTGTCTGTCACAGTGGCAAAGTCGGGATCTGAAGGTGGACAGCCCAGCTCTATATATTCTGGGAGGCAGCCCTTCAGGATCCCGTCAGATGGATCTGAGTTCAAATTCATCTTCAGCAGCTGTGTGGCTGTGGGCAAGTCAACTCAACCTCTCTGGGCTCACATCTATAAAAGTGAATCCATTATACAGGGCAGATCCATCCCTGTTTTATAGACTGAGAAATCCAGGAAGGCTGGGCTGGGGCGGTGGCTCAGGGGTAGAGCGTTTGCCTAGCACGTGTGAGGCACTGGGCTCGATCCTCAGCACCATGTAAGAAAATAAATAAATAAAATAGAGGGACCGTGTCCATCTACAACTAAAAAGTATATTCAAAAAAAGAAACAGGGGTAGTTGGGGCTCAGTAGTAGTGCACTTGTCTGGCACGTGTGAGGCACTGGGTTCGATTCTCAGTACCGCATATAAATAAATAAAATAAAGGTCCATCAACAATTAAAAAAAGAAACAGGAAAAGGCTCTGATTCTAACAACCTAACCCAGTACTGGCCAGTGATTGGTCCCAATGATAATTAAATGAACAAATGAACAAATTAATCTCTTTGGTTCCGGCCTCTCCTTCTCTACCAGGTTCAGCCCTCTGTCCATCCGTACCCAAGGCAAATCGGGCCTCACCCAGTCCTCATGGGCCTCATGGGCTCAAGACTGGGCTGCAGAGCCAGCCCTGGCCAACTGCCCAGGGCCCCAGAGGCCAGTCACCACTGCCTCTTGGACCACCATCGAAGCCAGAAAGGGCTTCCTGGAGCAAGGACATTGGACATGGGGCATGAAGACCGAGGAGAAGTTTATCTAGCAGAGAACAGAGGGCATCATTCAGCAAAGGCTGTTGGAAGCTGGAGCCTTGGTACAGAAACTGGAAGCCAATCCTCGGGACTGGGGAGGATGGTAAAGCAGGTGAGAGGGTGTGGTCAGAGTTGAAAGGGTGAGCCTTTCTCCCAAGGGCACTGGGGAGCCATGGAGGGTATGTGAGCAGGAGAGGGTCGTGGTTTGATTCAAGAATCCCTCTGGAGGACTGGGGGCATGGGTCAGTGTAGAGCTCCTGCCTAAAAACTGTACAAGGCCCTGGGTTCAGTGCCCAGCACTGCAAAAGTCAAAAACAAAGAAAACCTCTGGGGTCAGGATGGGAGACAAATTGAAGGACTGAGATGGAAAGCAGCTGTACCCTGGCCCAGCTGGGGAGGATGGACAGGGCTGGGGCTGGGGGAAGGAAGGAGACTCAGGCACACACAGGCAAAATCTGATGGTCCCCAGGGGGGAAGAAGGGCTGGGAACCTCCTCCCTCCTAAGCCTTCCATCTGAGATAATTCTCACCATTAAACAAAATGTTCTTTGAGCTACTAAGTGCAAATACGTATCCCAGTCCTTCTTCCCAGACAGTCAATCCAAGCATGCCCCAAATTACTTCTAGAATCCTTCCATGCTTCCGGTTTCTGCAGGACCCAGCAGCTGAGCAGACACTTCTGCCACAAGGCGCTTGCTAAAAGCCAAGCTCAGTGTCAAGGGCACAACAAGCACAACCCGAGGAATCCAAACAACGACCGTGAGGCTACCAAGAACTGTAGGGCAAGTGGGGAAACTGAGGCACGGGGCAGTTAAGTCGCCTGCTCCAGGCCACAGAACCAGTACATGGTAGAGACGGGCCTCCAACCCAGGGCTCCAAAATCCACAATGATGACCATTGCCTATCCAAAGTCCACTCGAAGCCCAGCATGATGCCTGGACCAGGAATCTCCAGAGGCTGTTCCTGAACTTCACTGAGGCCTACAAGTGGGTCCAGGGGTCCAAGCAGCTGGGTCCTGGGACCCGCAAACCTCCCTGCTCTCAGGATCTGGATTTCTCTCCTGACTTCTGTAGGCTTTTTGGAAAAGCCCAGCCTGTCTCATCCATAGCAGGGACAGTGAAGCCAAACAGTGAGTTTGAACCCTGGCTCAGTCACATACTTACTGGGTTACCTAGGGCCAGCTACTTAACCTCTCTGTACCTTGGTATTCTTAGGTACAAAATAATAATAGATAGTCCTGAGACCTAACTTCTAGGATTGTCAAGAGGGCTGAAGGAGTTAATATTTGCCTAGAATAATACTCGGAATATGTTCATGAAATAAAACATTGAAAGACAAGAAATGGTAAAAGGCTAGAATGGTGACCTGGGATCCACAGCATTTGAGGGAGAGAGTGAAGCCACACTGGGGTGTAGAGGAAGCAACAAAATCTTTAGGAGCCTCCTTCCCCACTCCTGCTCCCACCCCTGCATCCCCCACTTTACAAGGGATGGTACCTAGCGCTACAGCAGTAGCTACAGAATTATAGAAAGAATTCATCTTTAAAGTCAGCTCTGCCTCATCCCAACTGTGTGACCTCGGGTAAGTTGCTTGCCGCCTCTGAGCTCCAGTGGATGCACTCATAAGAGCAATGGGGAGCCATGGAGGGTATGTGACCAGAGTCCTGGAGGCCAGCAGAGCCACACCCTTGCTGAATCCCGGGGCGTGCCCAGCTCTGCCCGGCTGTACTCACCATACCCAGGTGGCCCAGCAGCCAGTTGCGCCGGGGCGGCTGGGGGAAGCAGCGCAGCCGGCGGCAGGTGACGTGGAAGCCCCAGCAGAGGCGCCAGAGCTGCAGCAGCAGGCGGAAGAGGAAGAAGAGCCCGGAGAGCAGGAGCGCGGAGACGGCGTACACGCGGAACGCGGTCCTCTGCAGCCCCAGGAGCTGCAGGAGTTGGTCGGTGATGGGCAGCATCTGGGGGGTGGAGAGTCGGAGCTGGTGGGGCCACGCCCCTGCTACACCAGGCCACCCACGAGATGGCCAAGGGGTCAAGCAAGGTGTGCTCAAGTCCTGACACCAAGACCCCTCTGCATCCCCAGCCACGACAGCAGCTGGCACTCAGCCCCATCCGGATGCCTTCAAGCCTTGACGCCTGCAGGGCCACCCCTGGTGACCTCTGCCCCATAGAACTCTCTGCCCCTGTCCGGCTGATCAGAGTCCTCGAAGGAGCGGCTCTCAACCAATGGAGGATGCACATTGGTGGATAAATACCCCGGCTCCTTTGTCCCGGCTTTCCCAGCAGGACTAAACTCCAGCTGCCCACTGCAGAAACTTTCTCTGTTGGCTGCCTCTCTGCCCCTGTCTTACCTCCCTCTCCCTCTTCCTTTCCCCCCCACCCCAATTGAGCTGAAATTCACATAAGACAAAATAAAGCATTTTAAAGTGAGCAATCCACACAATGGAATATTATTCAGCCATAAAGAAAGAACAATATCCTACAATAGAATCCTATTGTAGAGGGAGCAACAAAAATATTGGCAGCCAAATGGATGGAGCTGGGGGGGACATTATGTCAAGCAAAATAAGTCACTCACCCTGTTGATCGTTTATTACAGGGTCTCACTATGTTGCCATACTGACCTTGAACTCCTGGACTCAATCGATCCTTCTGCTTAGGCTTCCTGAGTAGCTGGGACTGCAACACCACACCTGGCAAGTGAAATCAATAAGACACAGAAAGATAAATATGTACGTTTCCCTCATATGTGGATATTTAAAAAGAAAGTCAGCTGGAATATGTAACAGTAATTATTAGAAGATGGAAAGCCGGGAAGGCGGAGAGGGAAATGGGTACCAGCACACAGTTAGGTTGAAGGAATAAGTTCTATCTACCGTATAGAGATATATACACTAGAACTGGAAATTGAACTGAGGGGCACACTACCCCTGAGCTACATCCCAGCCCTTTTTATTTTGAGACAGGGTCTCACTAAATTGCTGAGGCTGGCCTCAAATTCGCTATCTTCCTGCCTCAGCCTCCAAATCACTGGGATTACTAGTGTGCACCACTGTACCTAGCAACCTATTTTTTAAAAAAATATTTCTTAGCTGTCAATGAACCTTTAATTAATTAATTAATTTATTTATTTATTTATGATGCTGAGGATCAAACCCAGGACCTCACTCATGCCAGGCAAGTGCTCTACCATTGAGCCACAACCCCAGCCCTATTTTATGTATTTTTTTTAATGAAGAACCAGAAGAGAGTTATTCAAAGGCTCCAAACACAAAGAGATGAAAATATTGAGAGCCACAATCTAATTAGTATATATCATATACACACACTGAAATATCACACTGTACCCCATAAACATGTACAATGATGATGTGTCAATCCATTTTTTGAACGTTTAAGGGGAGAGAGAGGTTGACTACCTGCTCTGATCATTACACACTGTACACAGGTGTTGAATTTTGACCCTGCACCCCATAAACATGTATAATTGAGACTTTTGAAAATTAATTAAAAAGCTAACCATTCAGTGGCATTTAAGATATTCACAGGGTCATACAGCCATCAACTCTACCCAGTTCCAGAACATTCATCACACCAAAAAGGAACCCATGCCCGTTAGCACTCACTCCCCATCTTCCCTCCCTGAGACCCCTGGCAACAATTAACCTGCCTTCCGTCCCCGTGGATGTGACTATTCTGGATGTTTCATATAAAAGGACTCACAGAGGATGTGGCCTTTGGTGTCTAACTTAATCCACTCGGCATAGTGCTGTTAAGGCTCATCCACACCTTGCAAGACTCAGCGCTTCATTCCTACACTGCTCAGTGATATTCCCCTGAATGGACATGCCACATTTAAAAAAAAAAAAAAAAACAACTGTAGTTGTAAGTGGACACCATGCCTTTACTTGTTTATTTTTATGCGGTGCTAAGGTGTGAACCCAGTGCCTCACACGTAATAGGCAAATGCTCTGCCCCTGAGCTACAGCCCCAGTCCTGGGCATGCCACGTTTTGTTAATTCATTCATCTGTTGGACGGTCATTTGGGCTGTCTCCACTTTGGGGCAACTGAGAAATATACTACGCTGAACATGTATGCACACATTTTTTTTTAGTACCTGTTTTCAATTCTTTGGGGTTCTTAGTCCTTACTGGTATTTTCTGCAGTGGCCTCTCAAAGACACAGTTGGCACTTGCCTTGGGGTAGCTCCTGGAGAAACCAAAACAAGAACATGAAGAAAACAGTGAGCAGGGATGAAGGGCTTACTGGGTGCCAGGCACCGTGATCAGGCTGCGAAACCCTCCTCGTGGAATCTCACATTGGTCCTTCGAAATAGGTTTCACCCTTCTCTCCATTTTCCAGGCCCCGTTCCTGAAATTCAAAGGAGACAGGAGCATGCGGAGGTTCCCTGAGCCCCTACCAGGGGCCAACGTCAATCATTCTCACTTTGGGGACCACAATTCCCAGGTAACCCCAAGAAGGTTCTTGAAAATGGCTGGGTCCTGCCCTCTTCTCTTTTGCTCCCAATCCTACCACCTAAGTGATCCTATCTGCTTGGACAACACAGCTAGAGGAATCCCTGTGCTCAGGTCCTCTCCCGGGTCCCCTATCCCCACATGCCCACCCGTGACGCCCTCCCTCCATCAAGTCTCTTCTAGGAGTCAACACCAAACCGCATCAGAAGTGAAATTTCCCCTCATTATCACACCCTGGGAAAACAGCTAAGAGCTAGGCAAAGGTGGGTCGACGGCAAATTTGGAGAGCTCCGTTGGGAAGGGTGGTATGACTGAAGCACAGAACTACATGATCACGCATTAGGCAGGGCTGAGGCATAGCTCAGTGGTAGAGCACTTGCCTACCATGCCTGAGTCCTGGTCCCATCCCCTGCATGATTTAAAAAAAAAAAAAAAAGACATAAAATAACACGTGTTGGAAAAGATATGGAGAAATTGGAAACTCAATGCACTATTGGTGGGAAGGTTAAAGGGTGCAGCTGCTATGGAAAACATTAACGCTATTTGTTTTAAAAATTAAGTATGGAATTATCATAAAATCCAACCATTCCACCTCTAGGTAGAAACCAAAAAAAGTGAAAGTCCGATCTTCAGGAGCAGTTTGTACAGCCGCGTTCCCAGCAGCACTACTAACAACAGCCAAAAGGTGGACGCCACTCAAATGTCCATCCATGAAGAATAGATAAACAAAATGTGGAGCATCCTCAGAACAGACTGTATTCCGCACTCATTCTTAAAAAGGAAGGACATTCTACCTCCTGCTGCAGTATGTAGGAGCCTTGGGGACATCATACAAATATTGCGTGATTCCGTTTCTCTGTCATCCTCAGAACATAAAATCCACAGACAGAAAGCAGAGTCGTGGGTTCGGGGACTGGAGGAGGGAGACGGGGAGTGAAGGTGTCCTAGGCACAGAGTTTCAGTTTTGCAGGATGAAAACAGTTCTGGGGACCGAGGGTGGTGAAGGACGATGGTGGTGAAGGACAATGTAAGCCCATGTCAACACTCCATTGGTCCCAACTGTACGCTTAAAATAATTAAAAAGGCAACATTGTATCCAATGAGTATTTTATCAAGTTTAAAAATTTTGAAGAAATACAGACCCAGAGTTGGCAATCTTCCCTTTGCATGTTCCCCGGGGTCAGGGTCGGGATGGAAAATAACCAAACTCCCAAATGGACTCACAAGGAGGTCCAAGTCCCGAGTCCCAGGTACATGCTTTGAACTTGGTGAGCAGCTCCAGGTGACACCCTGCACTGAGGCAGACTTGAGTTTTCATTTCTTTTTCCATTAAACAGTAGCTAAAGATTGTCTTCAGCAACGTCAGGAAGGCCAGCCACCTACTCTTCATTGTGACCATCCTCTTAGTGCCGGCCCGTGCCACACCCTCACTAAATGCTTTGCTTCAGCATTCAGTTGGCAAATACTTTCTGCGCCCCAGCTCTGGGTGTGACTCAGCGCCAGGTGTTTGGGGAACTGATGGTATGAGCAGGATGCATGTGGCCCAGGCACTCAAGGGAGGAGACCACTCACAGGCATGATGAAACATGATGTTAAGTACCAGGTCGAGTTGAAAGGAGGGAAAGCTCGGATAATGTCCCCTCGTAGATACCCTTTCCTAATCCTGCAACCTGTGAATGTAACCTCCTATGGCAAAGTCTTTGCAGATATGATGAAGTTGGGAATTTTTTTGTTTTCATTACTTGGGATTGAACCCAGGGTGCTCTACCACCGAGCTACATTCCCAGGACTTTTAACTCAATTGCCGAGGTTGGCCTCAAACTTGCCATCCTCCTGTCTCAGCCTCCAGAGCCACTGGGACTTACAGGTGTGCACCAAAAATATTTTTTATTTATTCTAATTAGTTACACATGACAGTAGCATGGACAAATTAAGGATCTTGAGCTGGAGAGATAAGTCTAGATTACTCAGCTGAACTTAAATATAATCACAAGTGTCCTTGTAAGAAAGAAGCTGAGTGAGATTTGTCACATAGAAAAGGAGAAGGCCAGGTGAAGAAGAGGCAGAAGTTGGTATGACAGGGCCACAAGAAGCTGAGAAAGTGAGGACAGAATCTCCCCTAAAACCTTCTGGGGGTGGGTGTGTCTGCCCAGCTGACTGAGTGTCAGGCTTCTGACCTCCAGACTGTGGGAGAATAGATATATATTGTTTGAAGCCACCCGGTTTGTGGTCATTTTTGTTACAGCAGCCACAGAAAACTCATACACAGGGTAAGGGGATGAAGAACAATTCTTTTACACAAAATGGTCTAAGGGAGCCCCCCTGGGAAGGACATCTGGGCAGAGACCTGAGTGAAGTGAGGAACCTAAATTAAAGGGGGGGGTCTTGTTAAATGCATGCAAAACATACATGCACACACACATGCCATTAACATGTGAACATCTAGGTCCTAATTCTGACTCCTTCAGTGGCTGACTATCTGGCCTGGGCCTCAGTTTACCCATGTGCACCTGGAGGTGATTGTAACACATGATTTCTGGGTTGACCCCATTGTGATCCTTCCTGCACATAACCCAGTGATGGTGGGGAGCCTATAGCATCATATGGGTTGGTTCAAGAGTTCTTGGAGGGATTCAACCTACTCAGCCCACAGGGGGCCACATGCATCATCTCTGCCCCTTGGACTCTCTGGCTCCCATCTCAGCCACCATAATCAGCTTCTCAAGGCCTGAACTCCTGTGCTCTAACACCTTCCATGGCACCAGTCTTCCCTCAGCCTGGCATCCAAAGCCCTTTGGAAGCGCAGCCCTGCCCACCCTCCACTTCAGCCTCAAAGATCCCCTTTCCCAATCTTCTTTGGATCCCTCTTTCTTCATCCAACTTATATATTTTGGGGCTCCCGAGGTTGCTCCTTCCCTTCCTTCTGGGAACACTTCCTGGGGATGTCAGCCCCTCCTGTGGCTTCAATGACCTAGTCTCTGGGTCATTTCTATGTCTTGGTGTCCCACACTGAGTATCCTATGGTGGGCTCAGCCACTGCCTGGATTTTCCCCTGAGGGCATCTCCCAGATTCACCTCAACCCCTTCCTCCCTCCTGTCCCCACATCCGAACTCCTGCCCAGTTCTGCCAGTTGTCTGCCCTGAGCTCGTTTCACATCCCCCCTTCTCCATCCCCATCATTCCAACTTGCACCAGGCCACCGTTGGAAAGTAGCCTCCTAACGGTCTCCAGAACTCCATCCTTGCCCTCCAGGAGCATGCCATCCTCCACACAGCAGCCAGAGGGGTCTTCCCAAAATTGAACCTCTCCTGCTGAAAATCCTGTCACGGCTCCCCATTATACTCTGAAAAAAAAAATCAGACTCCTCATGGATCACAGCACTCTTCATGGGACTGCTTCAGCCATAAAAAAGAAGGAAACAAATATTCAAATAAAATTTTGTGATTGTGTGTGCATGCACAATGTGTGTGTGTGTGTGTTGCTGGAGATGGAACCCAGGGCCTCATGCATGCTAGGCAAGGGCTCTGTTGCTGAGCTACATCTCCAGTTCTCAAGCAAATTCTTGTATACAAGAATCATCAAGAAGTGGAAAAATCCAAACATTCATCAACGATGAATGCAAAAATAAAATATGGTATATCCATACAATGGGATATTATTCAGCCATAAAAAAAGAATGAAATACTGATCCATGACACAACATGGATAAACCTAGAAAACATGATGCCGAGTGACAGAAGGTAGTCACAAAAGACCATAGAAGGTATGATCCAATTTATATGAAATGACCAGAACAAGCAAATCCATAGAGACAGAGTGCAGAGGAGTTGTTGCCAGGTGCTGGGGCGGGGGTGGGGGGTGGGTGCAGGGCATAGATGCTAATGATGATGGACTCTTTTGGGGGATGAAAATGTTCTGGAACTAGACAGTGGTGGTGGTTGCACATCATTATGAGCATTATGAGTGGCCTAAATGCCACTGAACTATGCACTTAAAAATGGTTAATTTGTAATATTGTTAAAATGGCCACACTACCAGAAGTAACATACAGATTCAATGCAATCCCCATCAAAATACCAATGACATTCTTCACAGAGCTAGGGAAAAAAAAAACAGTCTTAAGATTCATTTGGAAAAATGAAAGATCCAGAATAGCCAAAGCAATTCGAAGCCAAAAAAGCAATGCTGGAGGCATCATAATCCCTGATTTCAAATTATACTACAGAGCTATCATAACAAAAACTGTATGGTACCAGTATAAAAACAGACACAGAGATCAATGGTCAACAATAGAACACACAGAGAAAAACCCACTCAGATACAGTCATCTGATACTTGTCAAAAACACAGATTGGAGAAAAGACAGCCTTTTTAACAAGTGTGCTCATAAAACTGGTTATCCAATGTAGAAGAATGAGACTAGACCCTTATCTCTCATCCTGAACAAAAATCAACTCAAAATGGATCAAAGACCTCAGAATTAGAACAGAAACTATGCAACCCCTAGAAGAAAATGTAGGGTTAAAAAAAAGAAAGAGAGTCTGCCACAGTGGCACACGTCTGCAATCCCAGTGGGTCAGGAGGCTGAGGCAGGAGGATCTCGAGTTCAAAGCCAGCCTCAGCAAACCAAGGCACTAAGCAACTCAGTGAGACCCTTTCTCTAAAAAAAAATACAAAATAGGGCTGGGGATGTGGCTCAGTGGTTAAGCACCCCTGGGTTCAATTCCTGGTACCCCCCCCCCCAAAAAAAATAAAGAAAATGTGGGGTCAACTCTAACCTATAAGCATAGGCCACAACTTTCTCAATAGGACCCCTAAAGCTCAGGAGAAAATGCTAAGAATTAATTAATGGGGTGGCATCAAATTAAAAAGCTGCACAGTAAAGAAATCAATTAAGAATGTCAAGAGAGAGCCTATAGAATGGAGAAAATCTGCTAGCTAAGCTACTCTTCTGACAGAGGATTAATATCCAGAATATATAAAGAACTCAAAAAAGCTTAATACCAAAAAAAACCCATAATTAATAGATGGGCAAATGATTTAAACAGACACTTCTCAAAAGAAGAAATACAAATGGCCAACAAATAAATTTAAAAAATGTTCTACATCATTAGCAATTAGAGAAATGCAAATCAAAACCGCACTGAGATTTCATCTCATTCTAGTCAGAATGGCAGCCACCAGCAATACGAACAACAATACCTGCTGGAGAGGATGTGGAGGAAAAGGAACCCTTTTTATACTGTTGGTGGGACTGCAAATTGGTACCATTACTACGGAAATCAGTACGGAGTTTTCTCAAAAACCTAGGAATGGAAGCACCATATGACCCAGCTGTACCACTCCTTGGGATTTATCCTGAAGAATTAAAGTCAACTGACTACAGTGACCCATGCTCATACCATGTTTATAGTAGCACAATTCACAATAGCTGAGATATGGAACCAGCCCAGGTGCCCTTCCATGGATAAATACATAAGAAAAATGTGATATATATGCACAATGGAGTTTGGTTCAGCCTTAAAAAGGATGAAATTATGTCATTTGCAGGAAAACGGATGAAACTCGAGAACATTATGTTAAACGAAATAAACCGAAATCAGAAATTCAAGGGTTGTATGTTTTCTCTCATATGCGGAAGCTAGAGAGGAAAAGAAAGCTGGGGGGGTGGGGTGGGTTTGTCCATGAAAATGGAAGGGAGATCAGTAGAGGAAAGGGCCCAGGGAGAGGGAGGATGGAAGGGAAAGGGAAATGCTGTGAATGACTATGGACGGATTATGTTGGTATGTTGTGTGCACGTATGAATATGGAACAACAAATCCCGCCATTATGAGCAATCAGCATGCGCCAATACAATGTAGAAAAAAGTAAAATGACTAATTCAGAGGCTGGGGGTGCTACTCAATGCTGGAGCATGTGCTTAGCACACACAAGGCCCTGGGTTCCATTCCCAGCACCAAAGAAAGAAAAAGAAAAAATGTTATATATAACTTTTAAAAAACACTTTGAGAAATTGACCATGGTGGCTGTTTCTGAAAGGGTCCTGGAAGAACTAGAGACAGGAGTAGAGAAGAAACCTAATTCAGTCTCCACCTTTCCAACTTCTAAACCATGTAACCCATTCAAAAGTGTTATCGCAGCTGGGTTCTGTGGTGCACACCTGTAATATCAGCTACTTGGGAGACTGAGGCAGGAGGACTGCAAGTTTGAGGCCAGCCTCTGTAACTTACGGAGACTCTGTCTCAAAAAAAAAAAAGGAGGGGGGCCTGGGGGTTGAGCTCAGTGACGGAATACCCCTGGGTTCAATCCCTAGTGCCACATACACACAGAAAATGTTGTAATTAATTACAAAAATTTATTTGTAGACTGCACCACACAAAGTGTGAGTCCTAATGTAAACTCAGGAGTTTAGTTAATAACAATGTATTGACATGGGTTCATTAATCATTACAATTGCATAGCATTAATGAGATGTCAATAATAGGGGATCTACAGGGGAGAAGAGTGGGCACGTGGGGACTGGACTTTCTCTGAAACTTTTTTATAAGCCTAAAACCTCTCTAAACACAGGGTCTTTAAAAATAGTTTATGCCAGGGGTGAAGCTCAATGGTAGAGTCCCAAGTTCAAATTTAGCTCTGCCCCCTCCCCAGGTGAGCCACCTGGGTGGAGCTGAGCCCTGTCCCTCTGCCCTCCTCTGCCAATCTGTGAAATGAGTTAGTAATAACAGGACCTGCCTTCTCGGGCTGTTGGGAGGGGTCAGTGAGACCAGGCATGGAAAGGCCTGGTCACAACCATTATTGCTCTTCCTGTGGCTGCTGCTTTATAAAAGTGGAAGAGATTCAAAACTGTCACCTCAGAATGCTGTGGGCGGCTGGTATGCCCATCCTCTCTCTAAGCCAGTCCCTAACATCCTCCCTGATGCCAAGCAAGGCACCCAGCAGCCCGGCCCTGGCAGAGCTGGCTCCACCCACCTCGCTGGGGCCCCGGCCTTATCTGGCAGTGGAGACTGGCCCTGCAGCATAGCCCACGCCCACGGCGCTCTGGTTTGTCAGGTTGGCCCAGCCAGCCACCAGATGGGGACTTGTTATACAAGGTGTGTGGGCTCCCTTCTCGGGAGAGAAGGAATGCAGGATTTGGACCACGGCTTAGTACCGGGCACCACACACATGGCCCTTCTTGAATGGCAGGTGTCGGCCCATGGCCTGGCATCCCATAGTTGGCCGGCCCCATCACCCCACATCCCGGCCAGTAGTCAAGGCAGTCTATCTCCTGTCTGTCTCCTGGTACCCTCCTTGACTCTCTCAACACCAAAGGGCTGCCTTGCCCAGAGATTCTATCCCCCCAGGGTGCCAGACTCCAGAAGGTCCAGAAGGAGGGTGGTTCTAGGTCTGGGTGCTCTACACTAAGCACCTCAAATTTCTGGGGTTATGAGGGTCAACTATGACTAATAAAGACAGAACCAAGTCACCCAATGAGATGGGGAGAGTCTCACTGAAGCTTGGAAGCCTGCAGCTTCTTTGGGCCAAAGGAAATCATGGCAGAAAAAAGTTTTAAAACTACCTGTAATCTAGCTCGTTCTTGGGATGTCATTGTTTCTGTGTGCCATCCCAAGTGTGGCCACACCTGGACAAGAGCTTTATAAGCTTCAAATTCTATAAAGCTCTACCCTTAGCTGTGTGGCCTCAGGCAGCTCTCTGCACCTCTCTGAGCCTCGATTTCTTCATCTTAAGACAGGAACCATATTTCCTCATCTCATGACTGTGATGACATGTCATAGCTGTTGGCGTTGCCATCATATTCATTATTGTTACCTGGCCATCTGGGATTTGGAGAATCCAAGGTTTCTCGTGGAGGGGAGGGAGGAGGTGGAGTCCCATTTTCTGAATGTCTGCCAGGTCATCCAAGCCCCTCTATGGATATCAACCCAGATCACCGCCAAGACACCAGTCCAGAGCTAATGTTACTGCTCGGAAACCTAAGCTGGGTTATAAAGAGACACTGGGGCCATCAGAAAGTGGCCCAGGATTTGGGGGTCAGACAGGGCTTGTTTGTTCAAATCCCAGCTCCCCCACTGAGTGTCAAGGGACACATGCTCCTCCTCTCTGGCCTTCAGTGTCCTCACCTGTAAAATGAGGGTGGTAGGGAAGAGGGGAATTTCCTCCTCTTCAGGGCCGGCCAGAAGCTTACAAGTACTTAAGGAGGAGTTTGATGTCGCCAGCTCTGGATGGGCTCCCATCCAGGAGCCAGAAATGGGGGAAAGGGAGGAGTTCAGGAAAGAGAGCTTCACCCATGGGGTGGTGAGCGCTTTGCCCTGAGTGCAGGATCAGTATTCAGGGTGAGTGGGCAGACAGACCAGATGGGGTGCCCTGAGCTCAGGAACCTCCAGCCAGCCCACATGGAGGCCAGAGGCAGCCTCCTTTTAAAAAAAAGAAAAAAAATCTCATTCTCTTCCTTCTTGTCTCCCTCTCACCTCCAGCCTGAGATTCCACAGGTGGTGGCCCTCCGGTGGCTTTGCAAGGCCCATGCTGGCCAGACACCCAGGGGAATGAATCAGACCCCTGGGACACCAGATAGCATCTATCAGACAAATGTCACCCAGGACCAATTGCACGCTCTCACACAACCTTCACAGGCGACTCTGGTGGCCTGGAAGGAGACCTTATCACAGAAGGGTACTCGGAGCCTCTGTGTCTACCAAGGATGGGGAGAGGGTCCCGGATGGTTGTCGGACCACCGGAGTACACCCCGTCCGCAGGACGTTTGGCCTCCCCCTCAAGACGACACACAGTGGCGAAATGTCAGGGACTTCGGCCAACCCCCAGGAGGCGTCACAGCGCAGAGCTTGAGCCCATTTGGGATGTCCCGGCCAGGAAAGGTCCCTGTCTCCATCATTCACACTCAGAAAAATACACCAGGATTCCGAGAGCGCACGGGGCGGGGGCGACCGGTACACACCCCTGGTGTCCTGGACACGCAGCCGGGTCCGAGGTCCCCGTGGTCCCCGAGGCCGCCCCGCGCAGACCTGGCACCCGCCCCGCGCGCCCCGAGCCCCGCGAGCCTCAGGTCACGGCCCGGCGCGCTCCGGTTACAGCCCCGGCCCCGGCTCACTCACCCTCGGGTCTCGGCCTCCCGCCTGGACGCCGATCTGTGGGCGCCGCAACCTCGGCCTGGACCGCGCTGCCCCAGACCCAGCCCTTTAACCCCGCCCGGCGGCGAAGCTGGGGTTCCGCCCGGGACACGCCCCCGGACACGCCCCCGAAGGCCCCACCCGGGTCCAGGAGGCCTCTGGGCGGGGACGGCAGCGCGGCCCCCGGAGATGGAGGGAACTGGAGACGGAGCCGCGGAGGCGTGGAGACAGACTGACAGGAAGGGAAACTGAGGCCGCGATGAATAAGGGACGGATGGAGACAGGAAGAAAGAGACTCGAGGACTTGGGCACCTAGAAGTCCCAAACCAGAGGACTCCCCACCCTCCTACCCCTGCTTGGCTCCCATTAGTGCCCCCTCCCACTCCAGCGTCTCTGAAGGCCCTCACCTCAAGGCTGGCCCCCAAGCCATCCCCTCTGAGACCCTACTAGCCCCCTCGGGGCCCTCAGGAGTTCTCAGACTCCACCAGCCCTTGGGAACCAACCCTTCTGTTCTCTCGGGGTCCAACTTGCCCCTCTGGGGTTCTGCAGCCAGCAGCAGCTGTCCCTCCTGGAAGACCCCTAGCCTCGACCAGCAGCACTTGACCAGTTCTGCCCCCCCACCCCCAACCCTCCCTGCCCACAGCCAGACACCATGACCCTTCCGCCAGGATGTTGTCCTTGGCCAGCCCTTCTGCTCCAGATGTGTCCAGTCAACACTGCCCCTGGATGTGAGGCAGATACCACTCCTGGGTCGGTGGGGGGTGGGTGACTAACTTGGGCAAGTGGGCAGACAGTTGGGAGGACAAATGTAAGAAGCTACAACTCCACCCGCCCCGACTTAGAAGATTCCTCTACCACTTTGCTTTTCAGTAATGCTGCTTCACTTGGCGCTTGGCCCTTGGAAAGTGGGGGGATCGCGGTGAACATGTTTCCAAAAGAAGAAGAGGAGATACAAATAATTGAAGCTTGGCTGCTTAGAGGACGCAGACGTGAAGGATGTGACATTTGAGCTGAGACTACAGGGAGAGGTTGGATTTCAACAGGTGCAGGAGAGGGGGCGGGGCTCAGGTGGGGAGAAACTGGAAGGTGTGGCTTGGCAAGCGGCTTTCCCTGGCCTTGGGGTGTGAGAGATGAGGAAGCTGAAGGGGCACAGGAGCTGGCTGCCAAGGGCTTTAACAGCCACCCTAAGTAGCTGGGACAATAGGGAGCCATGCATGGTGCTTGAGCAGGGAAAAATCCTCTTGTTGACTAGTTTTAATTCACAGTAGAGTTTTTGTTTGTTTGTTTGTTTGTTTTCAGGGTTGTGGATTTGGTTTTGCCAATGGTGCTGGCAAAGAGGAGCTCATTAGGGACACTGGAAAAGACTGAAATTTGAGAATTTGAGAGGGATCCTGGAGGTGGCTGAGGGGGACATGGATAAAGGGTGGGATGGTTGAGACCTAGGAAGGGATGAGCCGAGGCCCAGATCCTCAGCCACTTTGATCACTGGCTGGATGTGGACTCTAAGAAGTGGAGAAGGAGAGGAAAAGAGGGGTTCTCCAGTTTCTCCGCTGTTAGAAAGATGGAGATCGGGAAGAGGAATGAGTCAAAGAGGCTGGTGGTAAGAAGCAGTGACAGTTGACTTCCTGGCTCTGTGTCCTAGGGGAAGTCACATGTCTGTTCCATCCCTCTACAGATGAAATGGAGGTTATAGATGAAATGGATCATGAGATGAGGTGGTGTTTGCATTGTTGAGGGCATGAGCTGTATAAATATCAGCTCTTTGATTTTGGGGTCTGATTTGGGTTAGCCTAGGAATTCTCAACTAAAGCAGGTTTGGGCAATGTCCAGTGATACTTTTGTCACACTGGGGAAGGAGGGGGGGTGTCTACTGGCACGGAGTCAATACAGGCTGTAGATGCTGTTCAACATCCTGCAACACACAGAATGGCCCCACAACAGAGAGTGATCCAGCCCCAAGTGTCAACAGCGCTGAGGTTGGGAAACCCTGGGCAGGTCACCTCCAGTCTAAAAGGCCCGTGGGATGCTCAGGGAGTCACCTGGGAGGCAGCTGGGCCCGTCATATGAGGACACAGCAGAGGAGTGTCTCTGAGTCACCTACTGTGGAAAGATGGCAGATCACTGGAAAGACGGGAGTGGGTAAATGAGGCCACTCAGGGAGGGAGGTGGACAGTTCAGAAGAGGATGAGAAGATGGAATTGTTGGTGACAGCAGCATTTGGAGAGAGGACTGGCAGAGGCGAGGAGCTGGGGGTGGAGATTAGGGAAAGGTGATAATAGGAACCATCACATGTACCCAGAGGTCAAGGAGCCCCGGACCTAGGAAGGAATGGAACTGCGTGGTGACCAGGTCACCAAAGTCATCAGAAGCAGAGGCAGTGGTTAGGCTTGGGAGGGACAGTGCAGCTGCTGGGGAAAACAATTTGGCAGGTTCTCAAAAAGTTAAACCTAAGGCTGGGGCTGGGGCTCGGTGATCCAGCACTTGCCTAGCATGTGTGAGGCACTGGCTTCGATCCTCAGTGCCACATAAAGTAATAAAAGAAAGGTACTGTGTCCATCTACAACTATCAAAAATAATTTTTTAAGTTAAACATAAAATTACCATCTGACTCAGAAATTCTACTACCGTGTATAAACTAAAAAAATTAAAATGAGAAAACAAGGACACATGTCCATACATACACTTGTCTGGGAATGCTCCCAGCTATACCGTGTATGAGAGATGAAAGGTGGAAACGACCCAACTGTCCATCAACAGATGGGTGGATGGATAGATGAAAGTCGTCCATCCATACAATGGAATAATACTCAGTCATAAAAAAGAATGAGGTTTGGATGCATGCCACAATGTAGAAACCCCAGGACATTGTGCCAAGTGAGAGGAGCCGGACACAAAAGGTCATACTTGGTATGATTCCTTTTACATGAAGTATCCAGATCCGTAAATTCAAGGAGACAGAAATAGCATAATGGTTGCCAGAGGTCTGGTGGAGGAGGAGCAAGGAGTGAAGCCCATGTCCAGGGGTAATAGTTGTGGATCTCTTTTGGAGGTAACTAGATAGAGATGATGGGTGCACATTGTGAATACACTAAATGCCAATGAACTGTACATTTTAAGGTGGTTAATATTTAGTTGGGCACAGTGGTGCCTGCCGGTATTCCCGGCTACTTGGGAGGCTAAGGCAGGAAGGCAACTGAGCCCAGGAAGCAACATAGCCAGACCCCACCTCAAAGATAAATAAATAGCCAGATGTGGTAGTGCCTGCCTGTAAACCCAGTGACATGGGAGGCCAAGGCTTAAAGATCCCAAGTTCAAGACCAACCTCATCAATTTAGCAAGACCCTATCTCAAATAAAAAATAGAAAGGACTGGGGGTGTAGCTCAGTCATAGCGCACCCCTGGGTTCAACCCCCAGGACCAATAAATAAACAAATAAAATAAAGTAGTTCAGTTTATTTACATGACTTTCATCTCATATTTTTAAAAATATTTTCTGGGCCATGGGTTGCAGCTCAGTGGTAAAGCAATTGCTGAGCATGTGCAAAGCCCTGGGTTCCATCCCCAGCACTGGAAAACAAAAAGATTTGGAAGGAAACAAATGTAACACTCAGCGGGATAAGTTGAAGATGGTTTAAGATAAACTCTATTCTCAAAGGGATAGTGTAGCACCCTGGGGGCTAGAACCAGCCAAGAGCTCTATCAGTTCTAGGACCCAGGGCAGGGGCTTAAGCAGTTACTGGAACAGGAACCAGAGAGGGCTCTGTGGAGAGGGCTGCCTGGAAGGAGCTAGGAACCTTCAGTCCATGGACAAAACCAGCCTGCGTGGACTACAGGAAAGTGATGAGGCATAAATGCCCAGCTTCACTCTCCCCCCCACCTCCAGTGCCTGCTGTGGCTCCCTGTTAGTTGAAACTAGCCAGAAGCCTCAAGGCAAAGGACCACTGAATGGTTCATACAGGTCAGCCTTCTGGGACACAGACAGGGGAACAGAAGGGAGGAGACAGGACAGGGAGAGCAGAGATCTGGAGCCAGGAGAATAGTTCAAAAGTGAGGGGTGAAAGTGGGGGCAAACAGCCCTCCCAACTCAAGCTATTCCCTCCTAACCACGCACACAAATGCCACCTGGGACCATTTTTGCCAAACCACCAAGACCATCTGTCCTACCACTAAGCCTTTGCACTTGCTGTGCCCTCTGCTTGAATTCTCTTCCTCTCACCCACTCAACTAACCCCTGCTTATCCTCCAGGTCTCGGCTCAAAGGCCATTTTCTCTGAGGGCTTCCCCAACCACTGGACTCAGTTCAGGCCCAGATTCAGTTCCAGAAAAATTGCTTTTGGAATGTTTTATTTATGAACTCTCCAGATGGGGTCGTGATCACCCCATGGGTGGACAGTGTTTTTCTCTTTCTGTGCCTTTTCCCCAGCCCCAGCTGGTGCACAAGGTAGATTCATTCAACAAACGCCAAGTTCCCACAGAATGCTAGGCACTGATCTACAGTAAACAAACAGAAACACATCATCTAAAAGCGTTTGAAACGTGCTATGGAGCAAAACCTAAAGTGGGAGGAGAGGAGGGTACAGAGGTCACAGGATAGACTGTGTAGGGCCTTGTGGGCTACAGGGAGGACTTAGATTCTATTACTCAGGAAGGCAAGAGCCAGGAGGGTTCTATGCAGAGGAGAGATGTGGCCAGACTTAGGTTTTAACAGGCTCCCTCTGGCTGCAATACTATGAACAGACTGAAGGAGGAGCAAGAGTGCCCCCAGCACTCAGCACTGGAAGGACTGAGAGCTGGGAATAGGGCAAAATTGGGGGTTCGTTATAAAGGGAGAACTGATTGGATATGCTGATAGACTGGATGCAGGCAGGAGAGAATCAGAAGGATCACAGTGACCCCAGGGGTTTTGGCCTGGGGGATATTTAGGCTGGAGTTTTCAATAGAGTGAACAGGAGAAAAGCAGGGAGTGGAGGAGGAAAGGGTAGAGAGAAAGGCCAACAGGTAGAGAGGGGTTCAGGGGGGAACAGGGAGCACTCGGGAGGGAGTAAAGACCCAGGTGGGTGCAGGGGGATGC